TTTTTTTTTTTTTTTTTTTTTTTTGGTCAGAATGAAAAAGCTGTTTAGAAGGTTGTAAATAGTTTTTTTTTTTTTTTTGGTCAGAATGAAAAAGCTGTTTAGAAGGTTGTAAATAGTTTTCTGTGGCCCAGGTTGGGYGAGAGGACTGAGAAAGAAGCCTGACAGGAGACTCAGTTATGCTCTGGCACTTTGCCTTCTTACTCAGAAAAGTAGACTTCTTTGTAGGAAAGAGGAGGAGTGGCAGCAGGAGGGAATTGCCATTTTGGAGTCTGCTATTTTAAATTTCATTTTTAATGGAATATGAGGTATTTGACCACAGAGCTGGCAAGAAGGAGAGTCAGAAATGGTAGTGAGAGAAGAGGGGACAAATCTGGGTTTTCTATGAACTTCAACTTAAAATTCCTTCTGAAAAATAATGCAGTATTTGTAGCTCAAGCTGGAGTYCATTTACATTGCTTTTGAAAGTAGGTGTATACAAAAGAAAATGTTACTTATCTTTTCCTCTCCTCAATGATTAGCCTATTCTGCCTATAGTATATAGCACTTACCAGTATAATGTATTTCCCAAGACAAATTAATTGTCTGGAGTAATACTCCTGAGGCCAGAAGAGCCAAAAGTTGCTAAAAAACCTGGTGAATACCTTGGCCAAGTCTGTCCTTTTTTCTAGCTTAATGCACGGGCGAACACACAAGCTAAAGATTTATAGTCTATTTCCTGAAAATGTTGTGTTTGCTGTGCATAATCCTGCTCTCCAATTTTGTTTCCACATTGGAAAATGCACCAGTAGTCCTATGAAAAGATTAAATTTTTTTTTTTAAATAATTTCTCTCAGTTTTCTTTTGGATTTCAACATAATTCAAAAATTTTTCACTTACTCTGGTTCATAAGCTCCTTTAATGTGAAAACACCTAACTTTATCAACTTTATAGAATTGTCTTGGGAAAAGGGAAAAAAGTATTCCACRGAAATTTAGTGTGCCCAGTAGTACAACAGAAGTAACTTGTAGTATTAGATTTACTTCATAGCTCCAGAGACACTGCTTCTTGCAATGTACAGCATTGTTATATATGGGATCATTGAGGTGCTATTAGAGGAACTTAATAAAGCAAACAGAAACCTCATCTCAGAAAACTGTGATAGAATACCTCAGGGAGATCACTGATGGTATTTGAGCTCACTGATGAATAGTAGCTATAGTATTGCTTGAAAATGCTACCTTCTTCTTAGGGCTAAAGAAATCTCTGTTGTGCCTAAAGAGGGATCCATGTACTCAAAACTTTGACTGTCTCTTCCTTCTGTCTTCCTTCTGATTTTATAGATTACCTTTCCTGCCACTGTGYCCCATTGTGAAATGCAGCATTGTCACAAGGAATCAATGAGCAAAATTTTTTATGTGGGTGTGAGGAGTGCAGAGACTGCTCTGTTCCTGRCAAAATGATAGGTTTTACTTCAGAGTAATGTGAAAAAAAATAGCTGGCATTTTACTTYGAAGTAGCCAAGTGTACAAATTATGACAATGAACACCAGGCATGTTAAATTGGCCAATATTAGTTTAAAGATTTCATAATTTTTTGTTTTATGATTTGTGTGTACTTTCAGTGTTAGTAATCTTGAGGTAAAACATGTCTTTTTGTCCATGGTAAGAGTCGCAGACTTCTTGAGATAGGAGCTGGTCACTGAATGAGTTTGCTGTAATATCTTTACTCTCCTTAGCTGGAAATTCTTACTGTTAGCTATATGTGTGGGCCTCTAAGGACAGACAGGAGTACAAATAGGCTTATACTACTCTGCATAAGATTTATTTGATACAGTAGTACAAGACAGTACTAGAAAGGCTAGTWAAACTTACTGCTTTTTCAGTTTATATTCTACACAGGGTGTATGTTCATGTGAGCTTTACTCATTTTTTGAAACAGAAATATTTTCGCGTGTTAGATTCCTAACATTTGAATGTAAGATCTTCAAATAACCTGGAGGTTTGAATTTATTTTTTTTTTTCCTCTGAAAAACAGCTGTCTACTTTTAGCTACTCTCAGTATTTAATTTCCATGTAGTGGTGGATGTAGCAGTACTAGTCATTCATAGAGTTGTTCAAAGCTGTTTTCTAAGTTAGCAAGGGACTGTGAAARTGTTGGGTTTTTTCAGTTAGAAAGGGAGTATGTATTTTTCCTGGTTTATTATTTTCTTAAGCACCTCTGAAAGAAAAGCCCTACTCCTACAGAGTRTTATCAGTTGCAGACATAAGCCCACATGAAACCCTGCTGCATGATTTCAAAATTAAGAGTCTCATAAAGTCTACTGGTAAGCCAGCTACTCAGCTTATGACCAGTTCTCATTTTCACTAAGATTTCAAGATTATCTATCAGAACAAATGTGAGTTCTTTGATTCATTTACAGGCATATCTGCTTTCAAGATTGGGCTGCTTGGTGTCATGGAATGCTGAGTAAATGACTCTCCTCTGTATATGGCAGATCTTTGCAAATGACACTGCGGTCCATGCAGTCTGAGTTTATGCATGTTTGTGTTTATGCACGCTGCTTACTACTTTAAAAATCACTTCCTCATCAGAAGAAATGTTCTGCATAACTGATTCAGAATGGGAGCATAGTAATTGTAATAACTGCAGGATGTGTGTGCTTTGAAGCATTCTGGATATGCCCTGGTAAAATTTTAGGACTTTCCAGCAAATCCATCTTCATGGTCCCGGGTGAGAGCTCTCCAGAGGCTGTCTGGTTGTATCTGTTGTTGCATCCGTCCCAGCCCTATGTGTGGGTGTCAGAGATGGAGCAGGGTTGCTCTTTCCAGCAGCACATTGTGGTGTCAGTGGCACAGAGGTTCTGCCTGCCATTAGTCTGCTGTCCAGGCTGCTGGGACAGCAGTGCTCTGCTCTTTCTCCACRCTCACGAACCCTCCTTTGTAGGACCAGCAGCTCCAGTCCAGCCTGTCTGCACAAAACCTCCAAGCCYGCTTTGGTCTCTCTGTGAACTGTGGCTATTGTAGAAGTGTTTTGTTTGGGKTTTTTTGTTTGTTTTTATGTGTGGAAGTGTTGAGGTGTTTTTGTTTTGAAAACCTATATTTCTTGTGGGATTTTGTGTTGGGTAGAAATCCATTTGAAATTATCTTGGTTTTGTTTAGTCATACCATACAGTTTGTATAGAGCAGTAAAGAAGAATTTTGACAGGAAAGAGGGAAGTGGGCAGCTAACTCAACCCTTGTGCTAACTCCCCCAACTACTAGAATTGCCTTAAGTTTCCCCTTTTAATGATGACTGCTTCAGAAATACAGTCTTTGACTTGAGGAGAAAGCAGTAAAAAAAGGAAGTGGGTCAGGTATGTAACTGCTGCAACTAAACTTCAGTTGTGAGCAAGATGAGGGCTGCCAAATAAAGCCTTTTCTTCATACTGTGCAAACCTCTCTCTCCCACAGTGCAAAGTGCTGCCTCTGAAAAGTTGATTTTCTGGTGTGCACACTAAGGCTATGCAGAGCTAAAGCTTTACTGATGTTAAAAACTTTTACTGGAAACAATCTGAAACTATATTAATGAGTACTCCAGGCTCATGAGGTGTATTAGGTGTGTTATTAGATGAAAGGTAACAAATCTTACACTGTAAAGGTCAGCTTTTGTGAAAGTGGTATGATCAAGTTTTAGGACTTTGATTGCAAGCGTGACCAAATAGTAACTTAATGTCAGAATTAGTCTGAGAAAGCAGAATTCTGCAAGAGAAATTTCCAAGGAAAAAAGTTCTTCATAAAGATAAGAGCCATGTTAATGTGTAAATGTTTGCAGATCTCTCATTTTGGTATAATGAAAATGTAGGGTCTGATTATTCTGAGGTCTGAACAATAGAGGAATTGCACCCAACTGGGTATTTCTGAACCCAGAAATTTTCAGAATTTCTCAGGCCTTTCTGAAAGGGATTCTTTATCCTGCTTTCAGCTAAGTTTTATTCTCAAAYGGGAGCAGGAAAGACTTCTTAGCAAGCTTTATTCTTTGAAAATTTTAGAAGGTAAAGACTGTGATGGTCACTTTCAATTAAGACTGTCTSCCTGAACTGGAACAGTGAGGGGTTGGTAATTTTTTTGAGTGTGTGTTAATTCTCAATGCTAGTGCTCCTATAAAAACTAAGAATAGGATAAAATTGTAGTGCTGACAGCCTAAAGAAAGGATTCCAGTGTCTGTCTGTYAGCTACAGTATCACAAACTAAATTTGAAGTACACTTTAAGTTTTGGAAAAGTCTTAATTTTAGGCTTTGAAGGCAGAATACAGTTATTGAAGGCTAACCAGTTTTACAAGCTTCATCCTAGGAAAATATATACTCAATAGACACTATCACATATCAAGTCTCATTTTAGTGGATCAGATCTACTAGTAAGAATAAGCAGAACATCARGTACAAAAATGTGTGATAAGTTACAAAGCATGTTTAAACCTGTTCTAAWTTACGTTATTGTGTTTGATGTCTCATTGCAATCTGAAAGCCACAACTGTGGAATTTTCCTTTTAAGTTGGTTTTTTTTTTAAACTTCATACTGTAAGACCTCATCCTTAAAATTTACCTCTCTATGCTTTCAGCTGTAATTGCATGCTAGCTCCCTGAGCTACCTTCCTCAAGTTTTAAAATTTAGATTTTCTTCCTGTTTGATTTCACTGCACCCCTAAAGTGCGGATAAATGCCTATCTTCCTTCAGATAAATTAGAAATGCATGATAAAATAATTACAATTGTAACTCTGAAAACCAAGTACACTTTAGAGTAAWTAAGATGTTTATGTAATGCTGTTAGTCACAAATTTGTGTCTACTTTGTGGTCTCTGCCTGCTGTTGGCTTGAAATACAAAATATTTGACTATAGCACTTCTTAAAAAAATTGCTGATCCTCATGGCTGTKCTAGACATTTGTGCAGTGATCCACACCTTCCCCCCACCTGCTACATTCCTCCAGTTTGCAGTGCCATGGGCAAAATGGTGGACCCAATGAGTAGCACATCCTGGGCAGCATGGGACAAAAAAAACTAAACAAAAACTCTGTGATGCCATGCCTCAGTTTCATAAATGCACRTGTTCTGAGATCTGCAAGTAGCAGGTTAAGAGCCTCAGTTTAGGAAATGAAACCTAGAATGATACTGGGGTAGCTTAAAGAAAATAGGAGGAGAAAGGAAACTCATGCTGAACTGACTACAGCAAAACCCAGGAGTGGACACGGTACAGACTTATTTTTCCTTGAAGTTTCTTACTGGTTTTTCTGAGTAGCTGTTATTCTTAGAGCTGTTCAGAAACTTATTCCAAGGCACTTGTTTTTTCTTTTAAAGTAGTAAAAATGTAGGGAGCCTCATATCTCTAAAATATTTGATGTTTCATTAACTTACAGRATCAAATTTTAAAAGACATTCTCTGTAAACTGTGTGGACTTTTGCAATTAGAGGCTAGTTTGAAATTCAAACTTYCACTAAATTACTAAGCAGTGAATTTGGGATTAGAAATGGCATTTGAGTAACAATGTAAGSTATTTAAGGATATCCTGTTCTCGATCAATTTATCTGCAGGAAATAATACTTACAAAAAAAAWAWATATATACCCAGTTCTGTAATACAGTTCTAGACTGAAGTTTTCTCAACAGCTACAGCTGCAGCAGCTGCATAACTGCAGTGATTTTGTTCACGGAGTTCTGAAACAGAAGTGCTTAAAGAGAAACACAACTAACAAAAATTGTCTAGTGTCTGTGAAGTTGAAAATAAAATTGGCATACTAGAAATCTTGTTGCAATTCAGCCTTGCAGCATAACTCCATGTAAAAGAAACCACCGAATCATCAAAATAAGTGCATTTAAATGATGGTAATGCAACACTGCTGTGCACTGAATTTGTGCACTTGCAGTGACTTCACACAAATCAGTTTGCTATATAGGCTGTAAGTATTGCCTTTTACCTTATAAAGGCATTTCAGCAAGTCAGTAACAGTTGTTCGGACAACTYTGAAAATTTAAGTGCCCTGCTATAATAATTATTTTTCTTACCTTTCTCATCAGCTCTTTCCTGGTGATATTTCTAAGCTCATGTGCAGAATGTTGAAGAGACTATTTCACATAAAAATCTTGAGAGACTGCAGGGACTTCTTTGCCAGTGAGAAATAAAGCATGACTACCATCCAGGAAGTGAGTGGTAAGTTTTAATGATAAAGAAATCTATGTCAACACTGAAGTGAGTAGTAAACATTCTTGTCAAGCTCAGAAGCATGAATTACCAAGAGATACTTGCTTCTCAGTAGTCTATCTGACTTCAGTTTTGTTTTAGATGCAGCTGAATAGCTCTATTTTCTTATTGAACTTTGGTTTGTAGTAGTAGTACTGTGTAAATTGTTTTATGAAAACTGTCTTCTTTTCCCAGTGTTTTCCTAGAAAATTTTTGTTCAGCAGTTTTTAGTTTTCAACAGAATATTGATGTATTCAAAAATATTCAACAACTATTCAGCTTTTTGCTGTCACTAAATAACAATGTAATTATCAATCACTTGATTTTTTAAATAAGCTTTTTAGTCTTTTGAATGACAGTCATATTCCATTTTATTTTAGGATTTTTCCTCTCATCTCACTGAMAAACTTGCCAGATTCCTTAGAAACACACTTTTTTTTTCTGAAATTGTGGAAGATCGTATGACCAGAGAGAAGGACATTTTTTTTTTAGCCCTGCAAAACTACCTGGTATTTGAAATGCTGAAGAGGAAATTACGGTTTTGCCACAACTTGCGCTTCAGGCTTTTTTTGGGTCTAACTCTTATTTTAGTAATCATTTCAGTTTTGAAAGTTAACCAGAAAGACCACTTCTTAAATCGGAGGCATCTGGAGCTAACAAAAGAAGATCCTRTTAGCAATGTTAACTGCACCAAGATTATTGAGGGGGATTTAGAAGAAATACAAAAGGTACAGCTTGAGATATTATCTGTGTCATTTAAGAAACGTCCCAGATTAACAGCAGATGATTATATTAACATGACTGCAGACTGTGCCTCCTTCACCAAAACTAGGAAATACATTATGGAACCTCTCAGCAGTGAAGAAGCAGATTTTCCAATTGCTTACTCAATAGTGGTTTATCACAAAATTGAGATGCTTGATAGACTTCTGAGATCAATCTATGCTCCACAGAATTTTTACTGCATTCATGTAGACAAAAAGTCTCCAGAATCTTTCTTTGCTGCTGTGAAGGGAATAGTCTCATGTTTTGATAATGTCTTTATTTCCAGCCAGTTAGAGAGTGTGGTATATGCTTCATGGAGCAGAGTGCAGGCAGACATTAACTGCATGAAAGATCTGTACAGAAGGAGTTCAAACTGGAAATACCTAATAAACCTATGTGGTATGGACTTTCCTATAAAGACCAATCATGAAATAGTAGAGAAATTAAAAGCCCTTAAGGGTGAAAACAGCTTGGAAACAGAAAAAATGCCTGTTTATAAAGAAGTGAGGTGGAAGAAACATCATGAGATTATTGATGGTAAAATAAAGAACACAGGGATAGACAAACAACTACCACCTCTCAGTACTCCAGTTTTTTCTGGCAGTGCCTATTTTGTWGTTAGCAGAAGCTTTGTAGAATATGTATTAGAAAACAGCAAAATACTTAAGTTCATTGAGTGGGCAAAAGATACTTACAGCCCAGATGAGTACCTGTGGGCAACAATTCAGAGAATCCCTGAAGTCCCAGGTGCATTTTCTTCCAGTGACAAGTACGATGTTTCTGACATGAATGCCCTGGCCAGGTTTGTCAAGTGGCAGTACTTTGAAGGTGACGTGTCCAAAGGCGCACCCTACCCTCCRTGCAGTGGAGTTCACATTCGCTCTGTCTGTGTTTTTGGAGTAGGAGACTTGAGCTGGATGCTACGAAACCACCACTTATTTGCTAATAAGTTTGACACTGATGTCGACCCTTTTGCAGTGAAATGTTTGGAAGAGTATTTGCGACACAAAGCTTTGTATTTGCAAAAGAACTGAAATGTGTGCTCCTCTTAGGAAACACAGTTACAGATATTATACTGCTATGTACTTTAATGTGTTACATGATGGGGATGCTGATAATGGGTATAATGACTCTCACCATGTTGGTGTGGTGGTGCTGATGCCCTCCCTGCCTTGTCCATGGGCAAGGTGGGGGAAAGACATGTCCTGAGTGAATATGCCTTATGGCATACTGAGGCTCAATGCTTTAGGTACAAAATCAGACAGCAGTTATTGGGAGGCCAACTATTTGGAATATTTATTATTTAGAAGGTATAATTAATGGACTTCCTTTGGCTAAACTGTTTTGTTTTAAGGCTTAGAAGATGCATGTTGTTGATGGTTATTCTTAATTCTTTTTTTCMCATGAATGTAGTACTAGCTGGAAGAGAAAGATGAAGGGGTGGAATAAAAAGCAGCTGGACTGCACAGGCATCATACTGAGTACTGAAAGATCTCAGGAATATAATGTTAGAATTTGTCTAAAAGCTATGCAAAAGGGGATATGCAAAGCCAGCTGTTACCATTTCACTTAGATCTGTTTGCTGCAGTTCTGTTACGTGTAATTCTTAATCCTCTTGAAAATGGAGTATTAAGGAATTCAAATTTTGCTTTTGTATTCTTAAASCCCCCCGCTATTGTGATATAATGTTTATACACTAGTTTGTAATGACATCTTCTCAGGGAAGCTTCAATTTTGTGCCTGATGAGATTTAGACTTGTAATTTTACATTTCTTACAGGGAGTTCTGCTTTTGGATCCAAAGTTATCAAGTTTCTCAAAATGTAAAGAACTGCAGTAGTGCCTAAATATTACTGACAAACTGCTGGTTTCTGCTTTCTGTCAAGGTCAACTTGCATTCCAGATTATTTTAACACTGAGTACGGAAAAATAAAACTATTTTTTTAAATGATGTTGTCTCTTCCTACAATTAAAGYCCCTCTGAAACCACCACCAATAACTCCTAATGCTGAAGGTCAAAAATATTTTTACTGTAGGTTTCCATACATGACCGGAGCTGCGGCTGAGATAAACCCTATCTTATGTCCCTATGATAATTCATGCACGTATCTCTCCTTGTTTAGGTTTAACTTGTTTAGGTGCAGCTTATTTTCATTCCAGTTAGGCCCCTGCTTAGTTTAGCTGCTGCAGTGTGGCACAGACGCTTGGGAATGAAAGAAGGGGACACTGTGATGGATGATATTATTGCCTTCTCTATCAATTCAGGTTTGTCATGCATAGTTACTGCCACGTGYCTCATCTCATTCCTGAGGTGACAGTGGAATTCATGACAAGTATTAGCAAAAGGCAAAATAACCTAAATATTATGATTTGCAAACTGTTGCTGTGATTGCAGCATTTTTTACAAAGGTAGTTTGTCCTGAAGTTTCTCCTACTCAGACATTAACATAAAGAACTGCTTACTCTTGATCATGCAAACAGCTAGGGAAGYAAGCAGTTTAATCTGAAATCCAGCCTACTCTTGCCAACCCCTGCCTTTAAAACCACCTGAACATTATTTAGGGAATTTTCAGAGATTTGTATATTAACAGGCAATTAAAGCCTGTGAGTGAAGGCAGCTGAGGGAAATACCCAATCTTCCCCACCTTCTGGATTCTCTGCAAGAATGCTCTTGCAGACAGTTGCTCTCCACCACCTGTGCACAAGCTCCAGCGAAGTTTAACTTCACTGTGTATAGTGCTGGGAAGTTCCAGGAAGTCATGCTATATTTTTAGCAGAAAGAAAACTGCATTTAGGAATTTGCATCAAAGACAATCTACATTAATAACTTTTATTACACTGGAACTGCTACTTCAGGAAAACTGAAAAACGGAAAATATTCCGTGCACTGGATGGACTGCTGACTCAATCTACTTGACAGAGCATCTTTACCTACCTAATTCAGGCTGCTCTGTTCTTCATTTGTGCAATACAATGAACGCCTGTCTGTTCTTCTGTTGTTRATTATACTGCTACTATAGATAGTGAAGATGCTGCTTGATTAGCTGCTTCAAATGTTACTATTTAGATAGAGAGATCCTGTGTATGCTTACTGTATCATCTGTATAAAAGAGGAGAACATTGCTATTTAGCATACRTTTTTCATAAGATAGGGAAGCATTTCTTCTGGGAAAAGTGAACTACAAAAAACCCACTTCTCCAAAGCTGACTAGATAAGAGACACCCTGATATGGTAGAATTTAAATAATTTAAATGTTCTAGGAAGATGTTTTCATGAAAAGAACTCTTTATTTCCGGAGCAAGTACTGAATGTACCAATTACTAGATTCATTAAAGGTGTTGCAAGTTCGCATTAAGAAAATACACCTTCACCAGCTACAGTGAGTAAAGAAAGCAATCCAACTTATGTTAGTGTTGTCCACAAAATCAGTCCTTACCCGGTGTGCAACAAGCCAATAATCACACACTTGAGAGAGACACTGGTTGTTTATTTCACACCTGTGCAAGCCTGGGTGCTGGGTAGTGTGACACAAATCAAACACACCCCTCTAGACTTTCCCTACCATTATTTATACACAGAAGTTCAGAGTTAGTAACTTTCCAAGTACAGCCTCTCTGTTAGGCTTCATTAGTAATTTCCATACAAGTTGCATCATCCCAGCTAATTACTACACATGCTCAGGGGAAGGCACTTCACACAGGCAGAAGTCTTTTTTCTACCTCTAGGCACAATTTTTAGTATCATGAAGGTAGTTCAGCTATAGGATACATGGACCTTGAATATTTTGTCATGTCAGCAATGTGTACATAKACATACATCAAAATCTTGACTTACTGCACTCTTAAACCTTGTTAATTCTAGGGTGTCCTTGAGTAAGATTGCTAACTGCTATCTGTTCTACTGACATGAAACAACAGCGTGATTTTCTACATCCTTTCAAGTTTGTTAGTCCTGTGACTGAAGGATGCTGGCTGCTGGCTGTTCCATTGTTTAGATTTCCTTTCTTGCTGATTAGGCTTCAAAGTGTACAAAGACCTTGGATCAGAACACATCCTTTATAAAAGCTAATATTGACATATTCCACATTTTGCAGCATTAATGTTTCACTGAATTTGCCAATAAACTCAGCCAAAATAATCATCCTAGAATCAAGCAACTCTGTGGCACCAATAAAACAAATAAAATCTGGATTATATTCCTTACTGACATCAGCAGGTTTTTCCATAACTTGTTTCACTTTTCTAGTAGATATTTATAAAACGAGTAAAAGTCCAATACTAACATAAGTGAGCATGAAAGAAAATTGTTTCACCGATACCGCAGCAACAAGCTAATCTTGATGCTGTGCTGAAGATGCTAGGCACTTGTCAGGAATAGCAAAAAGTGAAAAACTTAATAATTACCTGGCCCCTTCAACCATACATTCTGAATACAGCAGTGCTCTWATACAAGAAAACAGCTGGTATGCTCTGATCACCTTCAGGTTACAAATCAGGGAAGAGGGCAATACACTGGCCTGTGCTAAGATGGACTGTGCTTGGGCAGCAGATAGAGCAGTAGAAATCAAAGCTGCAATGATGGATTCAGCTATGGTGCTGCTCAGCTCATGTACCCAGCTTACACCAGCTTTCTCACCATGATCGTGTCATCCTGTGGGCAGCTACCAAGGAAACTGGTTTGCATTCTGCCTACTGAATAACCCTTTTCTCCCCTTTCCTTTTTCTGTGGTTTAAAGCTGGTTCAGTTTCTCAGTCCAGCTCACCACCAGTGCTGGGAAGCAATGAATAGCCACTGACAGTTACTGAAGTATCATGTATGCTATTCAGAGTCCCCCAACACCATTTAATTTTCCATAGCAGAATTTTCCGAAAGAGGTCAGTGCATTGAAGGCCACTGCTCTAGTTCAGTCCCCACTTAACACATAAGCATTTTGAGTGGCATTAATAATAATAACAGTTTACCTGGTTTGCTGATTATAACTGTGGTAACGAAGTATCCTATATCACTAAGGATCATGAGGCTGAAAGCATTTAAGATCAAAGGCTGATTTGATCCCAGTAACCTAATACTTGTGCTTTCATCTCCTTCCTGCCTGAGGTTTGGTTTGACAGGGAGCATGTGTTTGTCTCTTGTTCTGTCCTATCTAGCAAAAGAAAAAAAWTWMMAAAAAAACCTACAAGATGAAAACTGCAATTATAATCAAGGTCACCAGTCAGATCACCATTACTTGGTGCATTTTCAAGAGGTCTGACAACTAAAAATTGACCTGTAAAAATAACATGTATGCACTACAAGATAAAAATGAAAGGTCATSTGCTTCAACATACATGTACAGTGCTATCAGGAGGATGTAATCYCTTCCTCCAGATTCAGTGCTATTCCCAGCTCTGAATGGCTGCAGTAGTCATTAAAAATAATAAACATGATTTAATTTAAGTTCTGTCACAATACTTCGTTTTTGAAATTTACATCTTGTATTGAAAATKATAGTGGAAGTTTTCTTTTAGTCACAGAATAAATAAAGAGCTAATATTGCAGTGAGTACCTCTTCAGTCAACYAAAATAAGGAAAATTTTATAATGTAAAATGGCTTCCCAATTCCATTTAGCAATATTATCCATCATTAGTGTAACATTTAAATAATCTAGATAAGTTTCCATTGATTCCATTGTTTCTCTTCTTTTCAATGGATTATTTTCGGGCATTTTAATGCTCTAGAAGACAGCATTAACAAATTAAAGAGTAGCCTGCTTTTGACAGACAACAGCCTTCATGATTTCTTAGCAGATATAAAAAGCAAAAACCTTTAGGTTATGTTCTTTATTTGAAATCAAGCCAGCTAACTTTTTCCAGGTGTACATACTCAGTTTTTTAAGAATCTAACTACGTATCTTTCTGGAATATGTATCCTAATGTTTCTGTTTTATCGATTAATGAGTCAATTTCTTACTCTTTACATACAGATAATAGTCTGATTTTTTTTTTCTTCTTGCCTCCCTACCTGCCCCCTCGCCCCATCCCCTTTCTTTCTCTCTTCCTTTTTTTCCCCTTTTTTTCCTTACTTTTCTGGATCAGGCAGTAATTTCATAGAGTTTTGTGTTTGCATCATCTCCCTTATTTGCTTTGTCTTATGTACAGTACCTTCAAAGAGGGAAATATTTTGCTCAGTGCTCTCAAATTACTGTGGTTCTCAAACTGAGCTTTGCTGTTGGAGTCATAAACATGGTTGCATTCTTTYAGGGTCTGCCAGTATTTGTTTCAGTTTGTCTGTCTTCTATGATGTCTATTGTAGAGCTTGACAACAAATAGTTAAGGACACAACCAAATCCTTGAAGTAAACCAATATATTTAAAAATACATTGTTTCCTTAAAGAAAACCTTAAGTTTTCTAAGTTTCATAGAAATACCATTAAGTTGTGTAAAAGATGAACAAAATTCTGTGAAGAGTAATGTGTCAGGATGGGCCTTGAGCAGATGCCATCTGTTAAAATCCATGTCACATACACCAAGACAGGATTCTGGAGCTTTTTCTCATAGATATAGATCTAGCTTTTTTTTTTTTTTTTTTTTTTTATTTTTCTTTTTTTTTTTTTTTTTTTTTTTTTAAGTATTTCCTCTAGGCTTGGGAAGCTAGGCCTACTGGGAGATCTAGTCACATACAACTAATTATATTTTATTCAGTACCATGAAAACATTAATCTTGCCTATCTTAATTTTTTTTTATTTTAATTTTTCARGGCCAGGRTGCCCCTTCATTCTCTCATTTAAACAAGCAATATTTCAGGAATCTTTTAGCAGAAAATSTTTAATTAATAAAACCATCATTATCTTTAATGAAGTTAGTTTGTCTACAGTCAAAGCCCTTTATCTCTCTTCCTTTCAGCCAACTTGCCTTTGCTACACATGGGSGTGGGGAGCAGAAATGGTCACAAGGCTTCAAAGTGTAATTT